AAAGTCCGGCCGGCAACCACGCCATTTTTATCATAAAACGCATTGGTTGCCCATCGTATATCCATCGCTGGATAATGTGACTGATTCTTTAAGTACTACTAGGCCGATGTGGACCGATGTTGGAGCATCGTTAGCACCACGGATTACCACCGATTACCACCGGTCTACGGCCACCGGCCGGGAAATGTGACCTAGGCATAAGCAAGCCGTGATATGCAATTGAGAAAAGTGTGGAAAATAACACTGCCTCGTAAGATGATCTACACACTGATGGCAATGCTGATACTACACGCTCCAAGATGGATATAGTTAATGGGATTCGAGAATCTAAAGTGATACCTCTCTTTTTGTGGAGACCCTGCAAGGCTTTTTTGACAATGAATGATTGAGTGTTATCTTGTATGCCTCTTAATTTGTGTATATATGATAATGCGCTATGTTCGGTAGTCACCGTCTTTTTTAGGTACAAGACCTAAAGGAGAAACTTGTAATGTTGGAAAAGGTGGTTCTATGAAGGGACCCGCAACTCTCCCCAATGAAACTTCTTTGTAAATTTTTTGCTCTGCAACTGGATATTGTTTGTCTAAACTTGTAAGATTCTTTGAAAACGTGGGTGATCTAGGGCCATAATACTGTAATTTAAAACCATGTTGAAAACCTTCCCTTAAGAATTGATGATCAGAATAATTTTGAGTATGGAAAAAATTTTGTCTAGTTTAATTGGGGTCTTGCCCAATTTATATAGCTGACTTGGTGGAACAGGTTGTGGCCGGGTGCTTGCCTCCGCACCTCCTGCAGACGTGCTTGAATCTGCATTAATGATTGGTGGTGCAAATTCCCCCAAGTCACTGTCAGGTGAAGCATCACTCCCTGGAACAGTCTCTGGTTCGGCATGGTGGGGGGGGGGGGGATGATCGTTCCTTTGCGCTCCAGACCTTTGCTGCCTGGGAGAATGGCGAGGCTTTTTGTGCCCTCTGCCCCGGGATGGAGACACCATCTCCCCTCTGATATCTCTTTTCCTTTTTGGTGGCATACTGATTAGGATTGGACTGGATTTTTTGTTTATAACTTTTACTAATGACCAAACGCACTGGGATGTTGAAGAGGAAGAGGAAGTTGCTATACTAGTTAACTCATCCTGAAGCTGACTTTCCCATGAACTAGATAACTTGTACCAAGTTGTGTCTTATTGTTTAATGCTATCCAGACAATTAAATGAGATTATCTCATATTCATTTCAATAATCTATATTGTTTCACATTTACATATATTGAACTATAGCAATTTTACAGATGTTCGTAGGGGGCACCAACGCATCAAGTCCAAACGTCCCCATACGATTATATACTTTATAATATAATATATTTTGTGAATACTTGACATTAAAGAATATTTTTCAGAAATATAAGAAGCAGTTTGATTTCAGCTAATCAAAATATACAAATGTCAGAAATACTTATTATTTCCTTTTTAATGATAATCAATATCACTGGATCAAGGACAAAAAATGCAAGTTCTACTATGAAATTTTTAAAAACAAAAAAATTGTGAAGCCATGCTACATCAATAAATACAAAAAAGAATTAGGTATCCAAAATCAATATTTTTCTGAAATATATTTTTCCAAAATTGTCAAAGCCTTTGACAAAAATATTTTTGATTTTAACCACAGAGTTCTTAATAATCTTCTTAATAACAAGAGTTACTTAAGCAAATGGAATGATATATCTAATCTGTTTCCATATTGTAATGAATGTGTTGAAACAAACAAACACTTTTTATACGAATGTCAAAATGTTCAAAGAATGGAATACTGTTAGTGAAATTTTAAAATTTAATGTATCATGGAAACTTATAGTTGTAGGATTCTATAATGAAGTTTACGAAAAAAATTATTATTTACCAATCTTATATCATTAATAGCCCTTAGAATCTATAAATACAAAATGGAGTGTAGACTGGAAGAAATAGCTCAATCACCATCAGCAATTCTTTGTCATGTAAAAAATCCTTAAGCATGTTTTATTGTGCTCTTAAAAGATCAAAATATAAGAACTGGAAATAAAATATTTTTTAAAAAATAGAAGAAGGTTTATGATACGTCAAATTATCTAACTGATCAATTTCTATGCATTTATATATGAATATATGTTTATTTTATATATAAGATATGTTTATGTTATATATAGAGGATATCTATATTGTGTGATTTGATATTGGCTTTATCCAACGAGTTGAAATGGTGTATATATTCGCGAGGCTTGCCGAGCGAATATACACCATTTCAACGAGTTGGATAAAGCCAATATCAAATCACACAATTATATATGTTCTATTTATCTCATATGACTTTCGATTTAACAAAACTTTGAGACTTCCCAAACTACATGAATGATTGCTAAATTCAAATTGATGACGTATAACTTGATGACGTACCACCGTTGATGTCATGATATACCTAGAAAGTACCATAAGAAAGTAGATCGTGTTCAAAATTTAGAGTTTTTGCTATCTGCATCTTTGAAAACTTTATGTGACAATTGCTGGAGCTTTACATCAAACGGACTTCTGACTGAAAGTTGTAAGGACCATTGGATCATGAAAATGAACTCTTTGGAAGATGGTAGTACAAAATGTGATAGGCAAGGCTAGGGGCCTACTTGTAGATTCATTGTTGATCCATGGTAAGTTACACCTACATTTCTAGTTAGGCATACGTAGCATAATATAAGAAAGCCTTATTGAAGATGTTAAAGGAACCTTAGGCCTATAACAACAACTTAACTGCTAGGCTTTACTTTCTCCGAAAACGATTTAAAAAAGGGGGGGGTTAACGTATAGATCTGTCTTCAAGTAGCCAACACAGGTTCCTTGATAAAATAATTAAGACACTTCTTTGACATATACCAGTCTTTTTCTGGTTTTTAAAGATATCATCGCTCTTTATCATTCATTTTATTAGGGCAATAGTAACCATCACAAATAAAAGTTTCAAATAAAATCTTGAAGCGAGGGATCGTGTCAAAACCGGAAGTGCTATTGATAAAGCATCTACCCGTTGATAAAGCATAAGTTTATCCAACGGCCTGTATCACCAACACGTATGAGATAAAATAATTTATGTAATATACATTATAATATTTAAAGGAAAAAAAAACATTTGAAAATTGTCTGAAAAAATATTAATACTATCTTTTCATCCAAAGGTGACCTGGCCTTTGGAGTATATAATCTTTTTTAGTTAATATGAAAAACTATACACAACATAATGATACACATATTTCAGATAAAGACTTCAAATGATTACAAGAATTTTTAAAATTATGTACAATAGTCAGCAGTTTACATTCCATATATTATTTATCTTGTTCATATCTGACTTAGTCTCATCACACATCAATGCTAATTTGATTTTATCAATTAAATTGATAATATGTATCTATATATTGTCACAACATCTTACATAGGTAATGCACAGTGAACTAAATTCTATTTTCATTTGAATTTATCCTTCATTTTACTTTTTAGCTAACCTATAGCAAAGGTTCAAGTAAACTTTTCAGATAAACTGTTTTTCTGTCCATCTCTTAACTTCTTAAATCTTCTACTTCTACCTAAGAATCGTTGGACCAGTTCAACCTAACTCTCAAGAGAGCATCCTTTGGTAAAGGGGATTCATAATAATTAAAATAAAAAGTCAAATACTTTGATAAAAGGATAAATTATTAATAAGTAAAAAGGACTAATAACTAATTAAAAAAATAATCTCTTTCAAGGCCTACAGGACCAGAAAAAGTAAAAAAAAAAAAAAGCTTTCTGACAGCCGACTGTAGATTAATGTTATTCAAGTCATGGACATATGGAGATAAAGGAGGGGCACAATAGGCTAGCAAACATGTATGGGAACATAGAAAAGTAGACTGTTAGTGGAATGATGACTGGTCATATCAATTTGCAATCATGCCCAAAAAAGTACAAATTTTTTTTTTCAAATAATGAGCATTAAGGGTATAGTACCAGATCACAATCGGAGTTCAAAGTTTCAAATGGGAATGCATATACAAGAAGAAAGTTTAAATATGTTTTAGCAATTGATAATTATTAGGCCACGATTACTTATATTATATAGGATGTTCAGATTGAAAACTGACAAGTGTCTGCTTTGTATCTTAATTGAGAACTCTTTGTTTACGGAAATCACCAAGGCTCTGCAGATTTAGATATGTCTGAACTGTATAGATAGGTATCACAATTTAGAATATCAAGAACTGATACTTATAGAAAAATTCTCGAGAACAGCTGATAATAATGATATAAATATTCTAGCATCCTCTGGTAGTGCTGATTATATTCAAGTCAAGGTTCCAGGGGTAGTGTAATAGGCTGCATTAAGGGATCAAGATTTTACATACAAGCATAATATAGGAACGGATGTTTTTTAAAAAAAATGATACTCAAACATTTTGATATTATGTGGATTTAGATCTCTCGAAGTTAATTGCGTTGGAGTCATAACATACATGTAGTCCAAGCATTGTCTTTAGAATAAGGAGTGGAAAAGTCATTTTATAAAAATCTTTCAAAGAACAAACGTCCATGTCAATCAGCTTAGAATTAATGGCCCATGGGCTTCCATTTAATACAAAAAGAAAAAAAATTGAAATATAGAAAATGAATTTTTATTTGATTCAGATGAACTTAGAATACAATATCTGACATTTTTTAACTTAATTAGTGATTTCAACAACAAATCTCGTTTTTTCTTATTCCTGTAGCTGTTTGTATTTTGTTGAATGGTTCTTGTCTGAGAGATTATTGGTATGAGTATAGAGCAGCCTGTAGGTTCCCTGTCACCTGTTGACAGATCCCCAGAATATGCCACGATACGTCTCTGAGAAATAAAGGTATAACCTGTTCCTGATCATAGTGAACTAGAGTCTGCAAATCATCTAGATCTGATTGTACTTTCATTGCGTCTACATGTCGGTAGCACAAGATCTCTAGCATGTATAACAGTATAAATGGTGAGACATAAAATGATTTTGCATGATTCTGTACCACAGACTGTTGTTCTGTATCAATTCACTGATGTAATGGAAGTCATTGTCAAGTATGATATCCCATGCTAAAGCCTGTCTCATCTTTGTTGACCAGGACTGTCCCCCTACAGCCTCAGTATACTTTTCTGCATCTACATTATCCAAACAAATCACATATGGCTGTGCTAACTTGACCTTGATCATCTCTATAATATTTAAAGCTTCCATGTATCTAAGTGCCTTGTAATAATACATGCACATGTACAACATGTCAGTAATACAACCAAACTTGGCTGCCAATTTCAGCATGTGACGGGAGATTTTGTCAGCTCTATACCTCAGTTTGTTTTGATGTGTGTAAACTTCCATGTTCAAAATAAATGCAGTTTGCTGAAGGACATTACCTGTAAGTTTCTGTAGCTGTAAAACTTGATTTTGTGTCAGGAGGGGTAAATTAATTATCCGTCCTATTGTATATAGAAACCTCATACAACTTTGTAGGTTCAATTCGTATGATGAATCATAGCTGTGAATTTCATGAAATAGGTTTACATCAAACTTAGTCTCAGAAATCAGAGTATTTTCATCTGTACAAATGGAGAATGTGGGGTAATAGAGGACATTTATAATATAAGGCGTAATGGAGGGACTGTGTAGCAGGAATGCTAAACCCTTCTCATACAACCCATACAGTCTTATAAATAATTGAAGATGTTTGTTGCCATGGATTTTACTCAGAAATATGTTGTTAGATGGAATGAAAAAGTTAGGACAGACCCTCTCATACACCCATTTAAGGATAAGTTTAAAGCAAAACCAGAAACACTCCAGGAGATTTTGTGGACACCAGTAAGGTATTGTATTTTGTTGAATCACCCAGACAACTGCTGTTTTCATGTGGTAAGAACATATTAGCTTGTCATCATCAATTAGTCCATTGTTAATTCTTTCTGTTAACAACAATTTAAGTAAGCCGTATGTTAAGAATTGACAGTGGTTCATTGAATACACTAGCTTTTGTTCTGCCAGAGAGAAAGAAATTCTCCATTCATGGTCTTTATGATGTCCTAGCCTATGTCCAATGGCTACAAAGTGACATCCATTTTTATTTTTTAACTATATCATCAACAACATGAGGCTGGGGCCAAGAGCGACATCTGTCTATCCATGAGGAGGCAGATGGAGGCCAAAAGTCACTAACAAAACAGTAAGCATAATCAAATTCTAGTGTTGCTATTGTTTGAGTGGCACAGGGTCCATGTGGAGTGGTAGGTAGTAATGGCATGGAGCAGATGATCTGTCTGAATATAGAACTAGATATATAACGTCTATTATTCATTCTAAAACAAACTCTTTGTAAATAGATGTCCATGCTTGATGACAATAAATATAACAGAGTAAATCCTGGTTGACTATCAGAACAGTCACAGAGGATCAGTGTTTGTCTGTGTGTGTTGTAATACTGAGACTGAGATAATTCCCAGATAACACGGTGATCCTTTGGCCAGTACATAAAGTCTATATCTGATCCTTTCAGCCTAAATCCTTCTCCGTAACTTCCAGACACCATCACACTTAACTCGTCACTTGTTTTCGCTTGATTTACCACCATATCCCTGGTGTCCACCACATCTCTCCTCATGGCCACCAGTCGTGAGGTCCCCACTTTATGACACAGTCCCAAAAACACCGACTCTAATATGTTTTGTATCGCTGTTTTCCTGGTGTATAATAAAGACAAACTTCATATATTTAATATACTTAATAAATTTAGCATTCTACCTATTTATTTAGCTTTTAAAAGCTTTATAGCTAAGAGAGTGGACCTGAATAATATACAGTATATCGATAAATAATTATACCACAATTATTAACTACTTAGTATGATCTACCATTTTGTTAAACCAAAAGTTAGTTTAGTAATGTTTAGTAAATGGCTCCAGTAAATGTTAAACCAAGCCTCCGTTTTACTCCTCAGTAAGTATTAACAGTAGTGAAGAAGAAACTTCAAGAGTGGTGTAAATCAAATGTTGATTCTTAAAAATTCCAAGGAACTATTGGAAAAATTGAAAACATTAGATTTTAGCAAAATAAACAGCTTAAAATCTAAAGGCTTTTCTACTTTATACGCATCTATTCCCAAAGATAATTTAAAGTCCAGGTTTCTTAATGTCACTAACAGCTTTTTGATGTCATTGACAGCTGCTTTTTCAATGAAAATGGAACTCGAAAATTTACGTACCTTGTCATTGTTATTTTCAAAATGATTTTATTAAAAAACATTCTGATGGTACATTTAAGAAGTTGATATAAAAAGATGCTTGAGATTCTGATTGACAAAATTTATATAGGTTTTGGAGACCAGATCTTCCAACAATCTATTGGAATTCTCTTTGGGTACCAATTGTGCAGACCTATTTTTTGTATTCATATGAAGGAGAATTTGTTCAAAATCTTAAATGTGAATAGAAGAAAATACTTCCTGATTTATCGACGACGTATTGTCAATTAACAATGGCAATTTCCATTCTTATGTCGATACGATATATCTTGGTTAGCTTGAGATAAAAGATACCACAGAGTCTGACACATCTGTTTTATATGGGATATTTTATTTCAACAAGAGGCCCATATGCCACATATCTCACCTGAGAAGGTTTGGCCATGCTATTCTCAACCAGATTTCCCCGTTGTAATACCTACTGTGACCCCATCGTACCCCACGGGTCATTATTTGGACAATTTAAAATCTACACTACCCCAGGATACCTCCACATAAGTTTCAGCTTTTCTGTCTCAGTGGTTCTTGAGAAGAAGATTTTAAAAGGTTTTTCCTATATAAATGTAGAATTTGATTCCCTATTGTGGCCCCGCCAAACCCCCGGGGTTTATGATTTGAACAATTAAGAATCTACACTACCCCAGGATGGTTCGACATAAGTTTCAGCTTTTCTGGTCTAATGGTTCTTGAGAAGAAGATTTTTTAATGACCCCATCCTATTTTTGTCTTTTCTTGATTATCTCCCCTTGTGAGAGGACCTGGCTTTTCACTTTAAACTCCCCGTTACCCAAGGAAGATTTGTATCAATTTTGATTAAAATTGGTCCAGTGATTTTTGAGAAGAAGTCGAAAATGTGACAGAGTGTGAAAAAGTTTACAGACGGACAGACAGGTAGAAAGCTAAACAGACTGACGGACGACGGACAAAATGTGATCAGAAATGTTCACTTGAGCCTTCGGCTCAGGTGAGCTAAAAATATAAATTATATTTCATTTGATTCGATACGCAAGAGTATGAGCAATTTACAAAACGTGGTGAATTATTGACAAACAAGTTGATAAAAAAAAAAAACAGTCTCTTTTCAAGTCATCATTTTGTAAGCTCTATGGTCGATACAATAACCTTGTCAGCAAATACAATTTACCATTGAGCATTGGCGTCGAATGCAAATCCAAATTGGATGGGTTATGTTTGTGATCTCCATATGTTTCATTATGGAAGATTTACTTGAACATATTTTGTTTACTTACTTAATATATAAAAAGAATGTTTTTCAGATTTTCAATATTATCAACTTATTATGAATAGACGAATAATGATATGTAAGATTGTTTTGTGTCATTCTTTCTAATATTTAACTTGAAATTATCAACCAAATCAATCTGCTGCTTTAAATAGAAGGCATTTTTATAGCATTATGTATATGTATAACTCTTATTAAAACTTACATTTGTGAAGGTTCGATGGAGTCCATTTTACAGGTTGGATAGACTGTCTCATTCGTACGAAACTGTATATCGCGGATGTCAGACAGTAGGTTAGTCTAGCTTTTTGAACAGAAAGTTTTCAGGTGCTATAAATAGTTCAGAAAAATGTATCGGAGAATGGTGTTAGAAATTTCAAGCTTAAGAAGTTTTTGACATTGCGCATGTATATGCAGTAAAAACTGTTATTGGTTAATTGAAAAAATAACGTTAAAAGAAATGTGGAGCTACACTGGTTATTTGCCTATTGCAGAGCATATATCATCCATAACATTAGATGAAATTTATTTAAAATATGTGAAGGTTCGATGGAGTCCATTTTACAGGTTGGATAGACTGTCTCATTCGTACGAAACTGTATATCGCGGATGTCAGACAGTAGATTGGTCTAGCTTTTTGAACAGAAAGTTTTCAGGTGCTATAAATAGTTCAGAAAAATGTATCGGAGAATGGTGTTAGAAATTTCAAGCTTAAGAAGTTTTTGACATTGCGCATGTATATGCAGTAAAAACTGTTATTGGTTAATTGAAAAAAATAACGTTAAAAGAAATGTGGAGCTACACTGGTTATTTGCCTATTGCAGAGCATATATCATCCATAACATTAGATGAAATTTATTTAAAATATGTTCTCAAAATTGAAATGAACTTAGTATATAAACAAAATCTAAAACAAAGTCCAAAATGTCTTAATCTAATGAACAAATGTACTTGTGAAGTATTTTAAATGAAAAATTGACTCCTTGCAAATTATTCAAGAGACATTGCATGAAATTAATCCCTAAGACAGTTTGAAAAAAAAACTAATTAAGAATGGGGAGATTGAGAAAAACTATTTCAAAATATACAGAATCCGTCCATTTTTTGCATATCGGTTTAAAATCCTTCATCAAAATTGTGGAGCATGAAGCGTAATTAATGTTCCATGCAAAAAGGTCCCCGTGGGGATCCGGGTTAGAATAGGTTCTCAGTACCCCCTTGCTTGTCGTAAAAGGTGACTAAATGGGGCGGTCCTTCGGATGAGACCGTATAAACCAAGGCCCCGTGTCACAGCAGGTGTGGCACGATAAAGATCCCTCCCTGCTCAAAGGCCGTAAGTGCCGAGCATAGGCTTAATTTTGCAGCCCTTCACCGGCAATGGTGATCGACGTCTCCATATCAGTGAAATATTCTGGAGAGGGACGTTAAACAGTATACAATCAATTAATTAATCCATGCAAAAAGGAAATAATATGGCGCTAGAAGCCTTTCATTTTGTACTTGACACAATTGTAATGAAAGAAACGACCCTTTCCATTTAAAAAGACACAAAATCAGACTGAGCAATTGCAAGTGACATAATAGTGAAGCATGATTTCAAATAGTTTGGTTTGTCATAAAACAAGGACCCCTCCCTCCCCCGTTTGTTCATTGTAATTAACATTGTCACATCCTAAATAAAAAATAAGTATACCTCAAATTGCACCGGCGATTAAGGGGGTCCCTTTTTTAGTCCAAAATATTCATAAAATCCAATAATCCATTTTTTGGTGTGGCTGTATGCCCCTTCCCTGACCCTAAACTGCCCCCTTTCAGGGTTCCTGGATCCTCCACTTACTGTCAATACAATACTTTCAGACTGCTTGTTCATACAAATTTTATCAATGGCGAAAATGTTATTAAGTCATTTACTTTTCTTTCTTATAGTTTTGTAACTTTAATTTTTTCAGAAGAATTAAATTGTATTTGTAGGCATGTAACTTAAGTGCCTCTGGGGATAGAGCAACATAATCCAGTCAAAGAATCCAAGCAGACTTCTTTGTGGCAGTAAATATTAAGAATTGAAGGTCACGGCAAGTATATTAAATCAATTTCTTGTTTCAGTATCGGAATAAATTCTACATCTTATAAAAAGATAAATGTTTTTGTTAATAACGGTGCACAGTTGGCACCCAAGGAAATCCTGACAGATTGTTTGAAGACTTGATCTCCACAAACGACTTAGCTACTTTTAGTATCAATAACAATTCAAGCATCTTAAGGATGTCAGTGCTAGATCACTTATTTAATACAATCAGAAAACTCTTAACAAAATAGATTTGCAAATGACAAATGACATGGCCAATACATTTATGTCTTTCATTTTTGTCAATG